TCTAGACTGATGTTTCTTTTACTATGGTGTTCTTTTATCAGGTATTATGTTATGTTAGAGCATTTCATATCTGGAGCCTGTCCCTCCGTCTCATGTAGCATTATTATAAATAATTAACAGATATTCTGTAAAATTACAAAAAAACAGAAGTCAAAGAACTGCAATGAATTCCGTTGACCTCTCCAATTCTTCGATTAGTCGGTCAGATCTTTTTTTTTTTAAACACCAATGTCTAGAACTACATTGACACAACATTTTACTTTACATTAAGTACAATCTTTAGATGTATTAAACATTTTTCTCTTAAATTATTATTTTATTTCTTCTTTGATTTGTCCATTCTGCTCTTGTTGAATGTATCCTATAAAAGAATAACCTTGGCGCTTTTCAATGTGATGACACATTTTTGGAGGATTATTTGGGAATTGTTCCTTTGTGAAAAACTAACACCAATGTTTTGGACTATAAATCAATTTTTGCCTGAAATAATGCATCACAATCTAAGTTTTTACAGAATACAGAAAAGAAAAATCATTGTAATTTAACTTATGTTTACCCTGTTACTGCTAACCCAGTAGTATTTCTGTATTTTACGTCGGAATTTTTGCTAAGCAAAAACAAACAGATAACTGCTACCTTCCCAGAGTAACATTTATTGAATGTACTTTTGTTGAACATTTTACTCAAGAACAGATTAAACTGTGTTATATCATTCTTACAGAACCTGCTAAATGTCCTTTATCTAGGTCAAAGCATCGCCTATTTTATGTGTGACCTAAAAAAACTCTTTTTGCTGGCAGCATTAACTAAACTTATCAATTGCCACTGGTTTGCTGACTCGTAAGCAATCATAATACAAATAGATACATTGGAATTGTTCAGGTCAATATCTTTTGGATTAGTGCTGTTTTAGGGCACTCAACATGCTAAGTGAGCTAACTAGTGCCTTCTTTTAGTGCTCTTATGACTGTTGCATTGCTTTTATTAGATCAGGTCCTGGGGTAGGTTACAACGCTGAAAGCTCCGAGGTCGAAGCCACAGATGCTCACTAAACCTCTGTCCTCTATAATTCAACTTTTTATGAAAAGTAAGGAATTCCTGACAATGTTCCTGTGTAGGAATTTCTCCACACATGCTAATATTTTGAAAGTGTCTGACCAAAGGTCAAAATGCTACAAAGCTAAACAAAATGTATGTGTATGAATGTTGTAGTTAAAAGTCTGATAGTTCTTTTTTTTTTTTAAAGTGGACCTATCATGCTATATTTGAATAATATATTGTAGGGCCATACCTATATAAAACATGTGAAGTTTTTTTTTCAAAATACCAAACAGGTCATGCATTTTAGCCATGCCTCACTTCGCTCTATGTGCTCTTTTCCAGCCCTGTTTTTGCAAGGGCTGATTATGTGAGTCTTCTTCTTCGCTGCTTTTGTGGCAGACTACAGCGCCACTTACAGGCCTGGCATATGTACTACAGTGTCTCCAGCACTTTCGAGCGGCAATCGCCGTGGCCCAACCCCCCATTCTTCTGATAGGTGGAGAGTTGCCCATATAGGTGGAGCATCCCTTTCTGACGTCAAAAAAATTCAAATCTGTATCAGCTCCATTGCAGCTCCGTTTTTAGAAATTTGGGTATGGAGGAAAAGAGAGAGGGTTGTGTTTTCGGACACTTGGTGACTTCCCTGACACACTGGGGACACATATTCATGTATAAAAGACGTACAAAAGTGCATTTTGCATGGTAGGTCCCCTTTAAGTTTGTCCACAAGTGTTATTCCATCACGATTAACTTCATTCCTATCATGTCTGTTGCATCCATGTGAGAACTTGACTGTTATGTAAACCCATAATAAATACTTTGCTGCTTCTCAATTATTATTTCGTTTGGCCTTTTATATGTTACCAATAACTGTCTTAACATCCTGGAAATTAACATTACTTTCTTGCAGTGGTACAAGAAGTACTCAGATGTTTTACTTAAGTAAAACTAGCATACTAAATTATAAAAGTATTATCTTACAAGCAACAGTCTTGCATTTGACATCTTACTTAAGTAAAATAACAAAAGTAAAAGTACTAGTTAACCGTAATGGCCCATTTCAAAATAATATAGAATTCTGGGGAAATGATAATTGATGCATTCATTTGTTTCACAGCTGGTGATAATGAAGATACATTTAATTACTTTGTATACTGCTGCTAGTTCTCTTTAATAACCTTTAATTATTTGTCAATGTTCATTTATTAGTTATTTTATATTATTGTATTGATAATGTTCATTTGTAAAGTAATATGACTAAAGCTTTCAGATACATGTTGTTAAAAGTACTATATTGGCTTTCAAAATGTAATGGAATAAAAGTAAAACGTAGCATAAATTGAGTACCACCAAATTGTACTTGTACAATACTTGACTAAATATAGCCTACCAAGTGTAGCCTACATACTATGGAAGGAGTGTCTTTGAGCAAGGTACTTGGACTCTAAACCGTATTGTGTCTGCCAGAAAAAACAATGCATTAAAAGTAGGAATTGCCTTTATCTATATTGGATATTTAATTTAACCTGGCAAACGTGAAGAAGATGTTTTTAATGGACGTTTATGTCTAAAAAGTTTGGTTCAGGCATCCTGCGAGGCCACATGATGTTGATAACCGGGGTCCTGGCAAACACACTACATCAAGACAACTGAAGATGGCGGATGTGTTGAGTGTTCTCCGTCAGTATAACATCCAGAAAAAAGTAATCGTCGCTAAAGGAGATGAAGTTATTTTTGGGGAGTTCTCCTGGCCGAAAAATGTCAAGACCAACTACATAATCTGGGGGTATGTCACTGCTAAAACCTCTTTAAATTGCTTCTGTGGGCCCGCTGCTGGAGCTCACCGGTGCCTTGTGCTGACACTAACGGCGGAGAGGCTCGTTAGCTACATGCTAATATGCTAACCTAACTCTTCTCCTCGCTGTAACTTAAAACTTTCAGCAGTCTTCTCTAACTTTAGCCTAACACTAACATACTTTTCATACACTATGAAGCCATTATCCGAATCCTTATACATTTTTATTTTTATTTTAAAATGTTTTTATGACATTGCTACAGCTAAACTTGCATCTTTGGTGTGATGCTAACTAGTTAGCGACGTTAGCTAGCGTTGAGTTGTGTTCCCATGGAGTCAGGGGTACAGTGGATGAAGTGGAAACTTCATGTGTTTATTAGCCACAGTCATAAGCAGATTTGTTTATCTTGTAGAAAAGCTCAATTTAAGGCGGATAATTCGTTTGCTGAAGGCTTAGTAGATTAGCTAACCGGATAACTGTTGATAGTTCCATAAATGTAGTGTCAGATATTAGCTTAAACCTGCACTGTACACTTCAGTATTATGCTATGCCTCTCCAATGAACTCTCAGTAATGTTTCTGTTCCTCTTTGCTTGTTTTTCTAACTGCAGTACTGGTAAAGAGGGCCAGCCCAAAGAGTACTATACTTTGGACTCTATCTTGTTTTTGCTCAACAATGTGCATCTCCCGCATCCCTCCTATGTCCGAAGAGCTGCAGTAAGTGATCTAGATTAACTGTCAAAGTACCTGTCAGTGTCAGGTCGATCCTCTAATTCTGTTTCATTTGTTAACCTATATGCATCATATTATTATTCATAGAGTATTTTTGTGTGATTGCTTGTCGTTTATAGACAGAGAACATCCCTGTTGTCAGACGACCTGATCGAAAAGGCTTGCTGTCATATCTCAATGGAGAGAGTTGTAAGTAACATTTGTGAAATCATGTTGATTGTACATTGATTTTCTCATTCGTACAGGATGTACATTTTCTCTCTCGTGTATATATATAAACTCTTTCCTGGTTTAAATTGGATTAAGCATTATAAATAAATGACAGTTCTAATTGATAAAGACCTAAGAAGAGTGGCTTAACTATACTTGGTCCGATTGGTAACCTATTAACGCAGTTTCTGACTTTGTGTTTTCACAGCTACATCGACAAGTATTGACAGAAGTGCGCCTATAGAAATAGGTTTGCAAAGGCCAACTCAAGGTGAGTTCACACACTACGTACTCAAATGTGGTATTGCTGCACTGGGATATTAGATGTTACATTTTTGGGATATTACATGTTAAAACATTTTTAAATGTGAGATATTTTCTATTGGGGTAGTGTCCATATACCTTATATGCAGTGTTGTGTTAGTTACTGAAAACCAGTAACTAGTTACCATTACTAGTTACTTCATTTCAAAAGTAACTCAGTTACTTTACTGATTACTTACACCCAAAAGTAACGAGTTACTGTGAACAGTAACGCGAGTTACTGTAAAGTACGCGTTAGTTACTTAAAGGGCTCCCATTAATGCCCTTATAGCCTTCATTTCAGTACTGTTATTGCATTGGAGAATAATACAATCTGTTGATCAAGAAATATAAATATAAATAGTAGAAATAGCCTGCATGTGTTCTACAACGTGCAATGGCTTTATCAACTTTTCCCTGGCTAGCAGTCCCTCGGTTCAAACCCAGCCGCTGTAGCTGAGGTGGAGGTGGAGTGGAGTGGGATGAGTCTGGGTCTGTGGTCTTAGCTACTAGCTTCGTCCCAGCATGTTGTTTCTGAAGATGTTTCAACAGATCTGAATTGCTGTTTTGGGCAGTAGATAGGATCTTTGACCCGCCAAGACACAACTTACATTTAACTAAAACCTTCTTTTCTTTGTGCTCGACAAAAGCGAAATAGTGAGAATATCTCCAGGCGGAGAAACTCGACTTGAGCTCCTCCGCCGCCATGATAGTCTTGTTAGTAAACACAAACACGCCCACAGCGCGTCTCCGCATGTGACACAGGAAGTATCTAAGTATATTTACTCAAGTGCTTAAGTACAGTTCTCATCTCTGTTCCCCTCGCTGTTAGCGCCGCCCACCAACGTCTGGGAGCCGAGACTATATAAAAAAATTAACGGAGTAACGCACCATGTAGTAACGGTGACTGAGTTACTGAATTTACAAAGTAATGCGTTAGATTACTAGTTACTGCGTTACAGTAACGCGTTAGTCCCAACACTGCCTGTAACACACAACACACCTGTACCTGTCTTTATCATCATGTGCTCAGCAGCTACAGTGTATAAATGTCTACACGTACATGTATTGATCATCTATATGTTTGATCATCTATATGTTTGATCATCTATATGTTTGATAGTGTAATATACCACCTGTCCTACACCTGAATGTGAACCCCCTGTCTTTCAGGCCACCCTGTCCCTGCTGCTGGACCACCTGAGCCTGGTGGCCTCCCTCAGCCCCTGGAACAGGATGACCCACCAGAACCTGGCGGTCTGCTTCGGCCCGGTTTTGCTCACCCCCACCCAGGAGGCCTGGAGGGGAGGGGGAGGCAGGATGGGGGGGAAGGCGTTGGGGGAGGAGAGTGCGGTGGACTTCAAGAGACACATCGAGGCTCTGCATTACCTGCTGCAGCTGTGGCCAGGTGAGTCCCTCTAGGGTTCTGGTGCTGGTTCCTCTCAGCTAGTGTTGGTTTCAGACTCAGCTCCTGGTTCAGACTCTGCTGCTCCTGGTTCAGACTCAGCTCCTGGTTCAGACTCAGCTGGTCCTGGTTCAGACTCTGCTGGTCCTGGTTCAGACTCAGCTCCTGGTTCAGACTCAGCTCCTGGCTCAGACTCAGCTCCTGGTTCAGACTCTGCTGGTCCTGGTTCAGACTCAGCTGGTCCTGGTTCAGACTCAACTCCTGGTTCAGACTCATTGTCAGCAGCTTAGAAACTGAAGACTGAGTGAGACGGAAGAAGACACGATACTGGTTTATCTTTATTAGCTTTACTGTTATAAACTGGTGTAAACTGGGAGGGTCTCTGAGGGTCTGGTTTTCCTGGGATACTCCTTTTAGACTCAGCTAAATGTATTCTAATGTCTCCCCCTCAGTGCCGACCAATCGAGTGCCATCAGACGACCACAGCGACGCCTCCCCCCCTCCCTCCCCCGGCCTGACCCATAAACCCCTGCGGAAGAAGCAGCCTCGGCTTCCTGCGCTGCGAATGGCTCAGAGCCCTGAACAGAAAGTGGTGTCACGCCGCGGTCGAGACGCCCGGTTGGAGAGTCCGCCACCGATCAACCGGTACGCCGGGGACTGGAGCGTTTGTGGGCGGGACTTCCTGTCCGGACAGGAAGCCGACTATGACGAGGTGGCAGGAAGCGACAGCGACGGAGGTAACTGTTGACATCACTTCCTGTTAAGACATCAGTGTAGCATAGACCGGTACCATCAACACCAGTCCAGACCAGTTCAGACCAGTTCAGACCAGACCAGACCAGTCCAGTTCAGACCAGTCCAGACCAGTTCAGACCAGTTCAGACCAGTCCAGACCAGTTCAGACCAGTCCAGACTCGGATGTGGTGAGGAAGGTGAGGAAGGTGAGGAAGGTGAGGAAGGTGAGGGAGGTGAGGGAGGAAGGTGAGGGAGGAAGGTGAGGAAGGTGAGGGAGGGGTCATGAGGCCAGGATGGGGACCTGAGGGAAGCTTCAGTAGCGAGGGGGAGCAGCTAGTCTGGGCCGATGAGTCCCAGTTCAGAAAGAGCCAGTGTGTGACTGAAACTCTTCTGTTCCAGGCAGCAGTGATGAAGAGGAGCAGAAGAAAAGGTGCAGCAGTGATGAAGAGGAGCAGAAGAAGAGGTCCTGGTCTTCATCAGCAGCAGGACCAGGTCTTTATGTCGAAGAGTTCCTGGACTTTGACGCTCCGTTCAACTGTCGACTGAGTTTGAAGGACTTCGACACTCTGATCCACGACCTGGAGCGAGAACTGATCCACATCTGCCTGTAGTTCCTGATGTTCCTGATCTTCCTGATGGTTCTGATGTTCCTGATAGTTCTGATGGTTCTGATGGTTCTGATGGTTCTGATTGTTCCTGGTGGTTCTAAGGTTCCTGATGGTTCTGATTGTTCCTGGTGGTTCCAAGGTTCCTGATGGTCCTGATGGTTCTGATGGTTCTGATTGTTCCTGGTGGTTCTAAGGTTCCTGATGGTTCTGATGTTCCTGATGTTCCTGATGGTTCTGATGGTTATGATGGTTCTGATGGTTCTGATGGTTCTGATTGTTCCTGGTGGTTCCAAGGTTCCTGATGGTCCTGATGGTTCTGATGGTTCTGATTGTTCCTAGTGGTTCTAAGGTTCCTGATGGTTCTGATG